GATAGTCCCTCAAATACTTGCAGATTTATGTGCTACTTTGAAAGTAATACGATGAAGCACCTCTTCAAAAGAGTATATACATGCATTATATTACACGCACTTTGCAATAATTGGCTAGCGTTGACCCTTCAACTCGAAGGCTGCAAAAGAGAGACCAGGCAAGTGTACTTCGCTCGCTGATTTTTACGAGATTTAACATTATTAGTTACACCGAATTGTACATGATTCCTGCATGCTGCAAAGATAAAATATAACTACAACTGCGCGTAAAAATCTCAAAAAAGTCTTTTTTTTGAGTCCAACAGCCTGCGAGGCACCCTTTGTCAAAACTTATTCTACAAATTCTACCCCTTGGAAATTCCTTCAAAATTTTGACCGTCGAATATGTAGTACAGATAAGCATGATAACATGAGATTTAAATGTGAAAACCACAGTTTACTTCAATCGGTATTATTAGATGAAAAATCACTCTCTAATTTTGTTCGGGATTGCTCACGAATTAGTGTTATGGCATTTTGTGTAAAGCATTGAAGATATAGGTCTATATTTAAGTTCTTCTAAACAAACTTAGCTGAATGATTGATGTTCATTTCTTCAAATCTTGTTATGCACTGCATAGCTGACTTTGGCATTCTATTTCTATCAGGGCGGAATACTGGGAATAGTCATTAACTGGGACTGTGACCTTGATTATGGAATCCAAAGCTGCAATCCTCAGTATTCCTTTACAAATCTAGAGGATTCTGATGACAGATTTGGCGGATTCAATTTTCGGTAAGTTCTTTCACATTTATTTCCTGGATTCAGTGTTGCATATTTTAGATGCTTGATTCTGGGCATGAAAAGCTACTGTTTCTGTTTGTACCCATATTTTAATTGATGGGCAGTTTCCGGGAAAGAAGGGTGTTTTAACTGTGGTTGCATGTTTGTGTGCCGTTTGCCTATAAGAATCTGCAGAACCGTGGCTTCTTAGGCAGTTTCATGGATACTTTTACAAACAGATCCTTTCTCTGGACACGGAGCAAGTGCACAATCCGTTTTGTATACTTGTGTAGTCTGGATATTTCAAGGTAAAAATGGCAGCTTACTTAAATTCATATGCAAAAAAGCATCCACATTATTGGTTATTTTTACGAGTA